AACAAAACCATTATACCCTGATTTCCCATTGAAAATGGGTTCTGGGTATAACAAATAAATTCTCATTATATTGCCCACACTGCAGCGCAGCCCAAGCGTAGTCGCTGATTAGAGCGCAGGCTTATGAGTGCGTGTAGATGCATGTGTATGTATGTGTGCATAAAAAAAGTGCGGAATGATTAGAATATCTGTTTAGAAGGTCAGGGTATCTCCTAGTCGAGCAGTCTCGACTGGACTGTTTACATACGTATTTTACAATACATTTTTTATGTTACGAAAGCTATTTTATTATGTTTATTATAAGTTACAGCTGGCACAATTTATATGTTACATATATTTTATTTAATATTTAAAAGTAAATAAATGCAAATAGATTAGATTGATTTCAATTTGATAGTCCAATATTTACATCAAATTTTTTTTTTTTTTTTTGCTTAAGTGGCAAGTATAAGTTAAGACATAAATTTGCGTTATAATAAATAACAAAATTCGTTGCTTTAGCCGGCAGTGTATAACAAGTAGAGATACTTCATAGCCATGCAAACTTCTTTAAGATAAACTCGTAATTGTTTCTCTGCGATATGAAAACAATCCATTAGAAAGTGGTTTTCCTCCAGTACACTTTCAGAACATGCATATAAATAGGGTTCAGAAAATAGTAGTAAATACATATATTTTAGTAGTGATTGATCAATCATTTACTTTCACAGAGAGTCAAAGCCAGACAGGTCACTCTCGAGCTATAACAAATAAATTGTATGCAATTGTTTACAAATTAAATTTTTGATGACAATATCAAACCTTTTCTGGCTTGTAAAGATGTGTATGCGGCAGTAAAAATGTAGAGCCAAGGTCCCTCTCAGCCATTGTGTTCGCCTCCTAGCAGAAATAATTTTTGTATTATTTTTTATATTTAATATAACTTAATGTTATTCGACTAGTGCCATTCTGTCTCGACATTACCTCAATTGTATTGCTTCGCGTTCGCTTTTCAAAACATAGATGAATAGATTTGGTAACAGGGAGAACAGTTGTTTCATCGAATGAACGTATATCAGCTGATCTGCACATATTCAAAATATATCCGCTTAATAAAATATTTGACATTAACCTCTACATTTAAAATATATGAAACAGTTTTGGAATTTTATTGTTTCCTCTTTTTTATACCCTTACTTTTAAATATTTGATTTTAATGTCACTTACATTTCAGTGCTATGGATATTTCTCATCCAAGATTGCATTCTATGAAAATTCCTGTAATAAAACAAATAATTGGGGACTGAGGCGTAAATTCTGTATTATTAACTTACTCCCTTGAATCCAAAAGGTCCTTTAAGCTTTCTATAGACATTTGTTGTGCTTGAGATGATTCGCAATCAGTTGTAGCTGCATTTTTTTTGCAGTCGATAATTTTGTTATTCAATTGAGCTAGCCGATCGCTGACGATTGCAGAGACCTCAAAGCCGGCAGAGACCAATGCGCCACACTCTTTACTAGAGGACTTTACCGGTGGATCAGCAATTTTATATTTAGTTTTGCTATCATTTTGAGTTACTTTGGATAATGGAGTACTATCAACCTCGCTTAACGTCAATTCGTGTTGTGTTAATTGCTGTGTGTTAGGTAGGACCGATGGATGGTAGTATTTAGCTCGTGGAATCATTACAGTAAGTGATCGATCCGATTGAACCGCCTTCTCTGATTCCTATCAGAAAATAAAACCTCTGGTAAGCAAGATTAATAACTAATAAATGATTTAAATGTTACCTTAAATGTTGAATACTGTTCTGCATTGTGACTCAATTCGCTATTTGAATCACTCAAAATGTTACGCTTGTCCATGCTTGATTTGCACATATGAGCTACAGAGGACAATTCTGACTTGTTGCTAGATGAAGTCAACATACTTGGATGATAATTGGATGTGTTTATAAATATAGGTATCGTCCTAGTTCCTCCATAGGTTTTGCGCTTCGTATAGATCAGCAGCGTACAGACCACCAACAAGATAAAAACTGTACCAATTGCAATCAGGCTAATCAGCAACATTTTCAAATTCAGTTGACACGTTGCTCCCGCATGCCAAGCAAAGCATTCACATACTGAAGTTTCATTCAATATTATATTCGACACCACACAATGGCCATGGTAGTTACATTTATCGCACCCAATAATCTCATCTGAGCAATGACGACCAGGATAAACGGGATTATCGGAAGTGTCAACATAGCCATCTGGGCAGCTACAGGTATAACTGCCTACCAAATTAAAACAGTGGGCGTGGACGAAACAATCGTTGAAGTCATCGTGCGCACATTCATCAAAATCTAAACATGTTAGATATTTATATACATATACATATTTATATTTGTCTTATTTATAAAATTCTCGTGTCGCGGTGTTTATTGTCAAACTCCCCCGGGAACGATTCTCTTGATAACAGTGACAGTTTTCGGTCATGCTTTAGGCCCAATATGACACGCCCCTAAAGGGCGTAGACTTATAAGTCTTTAGACTTTATAAATTCATAACATTAGTTGACGTCCAAAATTTCAGCGCTCTAGCTGTAAAACTCTTGGAGATAAAACTGTTTTATCTGATTTGCCACGCCCCCAATGGGCGGAGATATATTCGCCATAGCTACATACCAAATTTCAGCTTTCTAGCTCTTCAACTAACATGATTTCTGGATATCGGAAAATGCGGGATCGGGAAAATTTTAACACTTTATAGATCGGAGATATACACGAGTATGTGTTCCAAATTTCAAGTATCTAGCTTYAATAGCGCCGAAATAGATTGCGTTCATACGGACAGACGGACGGACAGCAAGACGGACATTGCACAAAACCACTATACTTATTCACTTTCGTGAATGAGTATAAAAAGGTAAGGCAAACTGTTTTTCAACTTGATTAATTTATGTTTGATTAACAGACAATGCCACGAAAACCACAAAGGTCAGATGAAGATAGGCAACAAAGCAATGCAGATGTCCGTGTAAACATGGCGCAGTTACGTGCATCACAATTGCAAGAGGTACGAGATAAGCAAATCGAGCATTAGCGTTGCCTCATCTGGCATTGCAGCTACTTTATTAAATGGATGCAGAACAGCTCATTCGGCATTCAAGCTGCCACTGAACATTCAAAATAATCGGCTTTATAAATGAATATAAATCCAAAAGGAGGACGATATTCAGACTTCGGCATAAGTAGCGCAATCTGGCTCGCTATCTGCAACATCCGATAGGCTAGAAAACGATAATGAAACACAATATCTAAATTGGATAAAACTGGTGAAAGTTTTACAATCATGCAGTTGAAAATGATCAGAAAATTATAACAGCATTCGAGCAAAGAAAAATACTATATGCTGATCCAAATATAATCCTCAAAAATAATGTACAAAGCGTTGGTGATGGCTGTAAGTACAGCAACGGAAGAACTTGTGTTAAATCTACTTTTTGGCGTTTGCCACGCCTCCTTCTGCCTGTTATATATTTTTTACGAAACCATACCCTGCCTGATTTTTACATTTTTTAAAAGTTAAGGTAAAGAAAGTCTTATGTCCTATGACTGTGGTGAGAGAGAGAGAGCAAGAGAGTTTTGTAGCCCACTGTTACATGATCTGTTATTTGATTAGGATAGCCCATTGGGTAGTTACAAAATATTAAACATAAAATAAATAATTTTGGTTGCATACAGCTTACCTTTAACTGTTAACGAATTTATATCCTCCTTTGAAGTATACAATTCGGTTCCTCCAACACTATAGTTACTCTGTCGCAAATATTTCCTAAAAACAGATTCTAAGCGTTTCACATCACTATTTTCAGACAACTGAAAAGATAAGTTTACAATTAAGGAATTATAATTATAAGTTTATAAAATTAACTACAGTTAATTATAGTTCAATTTTAGTTTTAGCGACATAACCTTTAGCAAGAAGCTTCCCAATACAGCAGCGTCCTTTCGAGAGTTGAATTCCTTTGACTGGACCCCGTAGTACACATCTCGAAAGTCGGATTGCATAACCATGCGATCGATAGCATCAACGATAATTGATCTTAAATATCGATTTTGATTTAAGGAATCGCTTACAAGCTCATCGTCAAACTTCAGCAGGTAGCTTCCGACTCTAGTAATTGGCATGCGCAACTCGAAAGTATATGTTGCTGTTGATTTGTATTGTAAAGATACAAAGAAAATGCAAAATTAAAATTTGAAATAAAATTTACGAAAATTAGTAGGGTTGTCGAAAATATATCGAAATATCAATATATCGATAGTTTTATGTTTTAATATATATGCATATATATATATATTTATGTATATATATCGGGATATATTTTTTGGTGAAGTATCTAATATTATTTTTCGATTTTTTTATACATTTGAGTTGGTCACACTCGTTATCATTTATCAATGAACCAAGCGCAAAGTAAAACAAGAAAGCTCTAGTCGAGACTGCTCGACTACGAGATCCCCTGAACCCTTCGAACAGCTGATATTTCAATAATTATTCGCATATGCACACATACACGCACACACACAGGCTTACGTACGCACTCATAAACACGCATTGGCTGCAGTGTTGGCTTACTATGGGAACTTAATTGTTTAATAACTTTTCTTGTGAATGGACTATTTTCATGAAACTTTATGAGATATAGATATGCATGTATTTGCCAAAGCACAAGTCCCTAGTATTTGAAATACGCCTTTTACAAATGTGAGGGAGAGGGGGTGAATTAGAGGGGGGGGATACATTTTGACAAAAATCGAAATTGTATAAAATGTATAAGTAGCATAACAAATTTTGAGACTCTAGCTTTAAAGATGTAGGAGATATAAATTTATTACTGGTTTTCGATAATGTTTTTA